ATTGTAAATAATGGTGAAATTATTAAATGTATAAAATGGCTACTGCCTTTTTGAGTTATTTGTAAACATTTTTTATCCCAAAATGGCAACTAAAAATCGCAAAGTTGATGTAGAGTGACATGCACTCAATGATGAATTGACTTTATTTTATTTCAGAAGTTTTTACTCGGCCCACCAAACTTTTTTTTCTAGATTTTTGGCCCACGACCAAAAAAGTTTGCCCATCCCTGTTCTAAACCAAGTACCGTTTTTACTTATTCCACCGAAAATGCTTCGCAGTATTTTTCTCTCTAATCTAGCTATCATATTTTCAATTATCAAGTTTCAATACAGATGTAAAATTTTCTTCGTACTGCCGAAGTAACTTTAAAAATTGTTCCTAGATAAGGGCTAATAAAGTTTAAATGTGCTTTTATTCAGAAACTTTATAAATTATGATTTTTTTTTTTCAGAATCGCTTCTCCAAGTTTTTACCTGGATTATTTGGGATGATCATTTGTTGGATACTCTGCCTAGATTCGTAACTAAATCTTCAAAAGTGACAATTCTGGTCGCTGGTCTTTCCGTCTTATGTGGAACTTTTAAGAAAATCAATTCTATGGTAACAGATCTTACCTTCATATTCTGTGGAACCTTCAAGGAGGAAGATTCGAAATACAGGTCTTAACATCTCTTAGTTTTTAATAATCGTCAAGTTCATATTTTGTTTTATTTAAACCCTTAAATAATTGTTAAATACAGTTTAAAAAGTTTTATAATGCTAATGCTACAGTTAGGTTCGAAGGTTGAAGTTCACCAGCAGAAAACACTTTTAACTCCTAACTTTATTTTTTTTTTAACTTAATATTTTTTTTTTTGGAATTCAAAAAGTAAATAATTTACGTACTATTCTAGTGTAAGTTGCTGACCAATAAGTTATTACAGATTGCTATCATATAATTAGCTCCACAACAATTAAATGAAATTAGCGCAGCAACTTGCATCATAGCATGGTCTGAATCTATCATCAAAGTGATTCTAGTTATTTTGTGGTGATATTTTTAATATTCAAATTAGAGTTTGGTATGAATATAAAATTTAGTTTACATATAAATGAATAGTACGAGTTTCTTTTATCGGTTAATTCTATATAATAAAATAATAATCATAAAATCAAGTGTAATAGTAACCCCATAACATTACTTTAAAAAATTTGTTCTACATTTTTAAAATATAAAACTCTTACTCTAAAGTCAACGTAACCCACCCATTCATTAATTATATACAATTAGTCTGAAACTGAAGTAAAGTGCAAATTCATATCATGTCTGAATTTTGAAAAAATTTTGACATGGAAAAATCTTTTTCCGATAAAATTTTAAAACCCTTATTGAATTTATAAAAATTATGTAACTTTAACTTGAATCTCTTAAGTGAACTTTCAGAGATAATGAAGTATAGAAATTGTTGCTTGATTTAATAACCATTCATATCAAACAGTTTCATAAAGTCAGGGGCGGATAAGTCGTAAGCCCTAGGCCATTCAAATTTTTGAGGCCCTTAGATTAAATTTTTTTCTCGTATATTTTTTATATATTAATTTATAAAAGTATTTACTCAACTTCTCATTTAAGAAAGCATATTTGAATTTAAAACAAATAATAATAAATAAAAATTTCCTTTATTTTATGAAATTAGAACTAAAAAATAATTACAACATTTTGAAAAAATTTGAAAAATAATTGTTTTTTTTAATTTAGTATTTTCAAAAAATCCATTTTAAGGGGGCTCCTAATCATTGGGGTCCCCAGGCCATGGCCTAGTCTGGCCTAATGGGTAATCCGGCCCTGCTGAAAGTTCATTCTGAACTTGGAGATAGATCGATCAATTCTTATAGCCGGTTGAAAGCCATATAAGTATGGATAAAACAGACCAGTCATTTTTGACTAAACTACTGTTACTAATGACATTATTTTCTGACAAGTCACATTGTTATTTGGAGAAGAGGGAAACAGAATAGACTGCAAACTTTTTCAATGTTAAATTAGAAATATTTATTCCCACTCCGCCATTTTAATTCTGTTTTTAATTTCTAATATTTTAGGAAAGGTCATGTGATTAAGCCTCTTATCCATTATTTATAATTGTTAAAAATTTTACTATCTTCATGGTAGGCTAATTTTTTTTGGTTAAATTCCGCCGTCATATAAAACAGAGTAACTATATTTCATAACTGACTAAATTCCTTGTAGATTGGATTGAATGTCTCAACTGTAAACGATAACAACGAACCTATAGCATTACAGAGGAAGATAGGCTATGTAATTTCTGATTTTTAAATATTATAAACTAAAAAAACTTAATACCAAATGCATCCTTTGTGATTTTGAACTCCCCGTATGCTTAGTGTAGGAAGGTAATAATATTCATTGCATTAAATGAATATGCGTAAAACGAATATTTGCTGATATAGTGTTTCATTATTTATATATCTACCTGGTCTTACCCTCAGATTTTTATATTTTTGGATTTAAATGACTGTTTTATCAGGCAAAGGAAATTTTAAGCTATAAGGGTATAGTGAAATATTCGTTATCCAAGTTTAAACACATGCTCTTGGTGGATTTTATAAGTTTTTTAAACCGTGAAATGGCTCCCGGAGCTAAAAATATTAACTTGAGACTGCACTGCTGTGATTAACTAAGAGGTTTTCCAGTAAATTAAATCGACAAGTTTTTACATTTATTAAACTATATTTAAAATGGGTGTCTAAACATTCTAAACACATCGTCGATGACGTAACTACTCGTCATTAAAATTTTTTAACTGAGGACTCATTAGTTTTAACAGGCCCATTAAAATAATTTGTATCTATAAATTCTTGAACTTATTTGAAATATATTTAGAGCACCATAAAATTTGATTGAAAATGGAGAGAGTCAGATTACGCTTTGAACTAAGATCGCTTATCTTTAAATTAAATTATTATAATTGAACAGCACAAAAATTCAAACAGCATATTTTAGAATTGGAAATTCAATTTTTTTTAAATGTATACAATATATAGTTATATTTTAATTAAATAAAAATTAAATACATAAAGTAATTAAACCAAACATTTTGTAAGCTATTTTCATGAAGTTCGTGTTTTATTTTACTGTTAAATAGACTAATACCCCGTACTGAAATTCCTCGTAATAATGCGACGCTGTTACACTACAAAATACAGTACCGGGCAAGAAAATCTTTACACTTTACACTCGTAGCTGTAATGTCAGTGTCAGATTTTTGCTGGCACAAAAACTTTACACTTAGAGCTGTATTTACGTTAAGATTTATTTGTCTGTACTGTATCAATTTGTTTATTGATATAACTACATCGATTTGTCCTTAGAATAAGATTCATATGAAAGTTATTTCATAACGGAATGTTTTAGTGCTGTCATGAGCTTGTAATGTCATTGTGATAAATTCCTAGTCTCATTAACGAACTTCGGTGCTCACTAACAGTAACTAATCTATAACTATATAACATACAGTAATACTATCATAACACTAACGTGTCACTTTAGTAGTAAAATAATACTTTAAAGTGCGAAATGCCTGTAAAAGCAGAAGATTGAAAATAAGACTTGTTTAGTCCAAAAGTATACCCTTTTATTAATATACATCTTTTGCATACATATAGGAAATTCTTTGATTCCGCTGTTATTAAAGATTCTAAATAAATTTTGGAACGCAAAATCTTTTGCAATGAAACGTAGTTATTCGGTTCTTTCGAATTTTTTAAAATTTAACGAAAAAAACTACAGGTCATTTTCATTCGTAGTCTATTTTGTTTTTATGAAGATTGCAACAATTGAATTCTTTACTAATACTATGTCATGAAACAGAATTTTTTTCTAATTCGTGAAGGCAACTATCGTTGAAGTATCGTATCCTTATTTGCGCTGCTATTAGCAATTTGCAAAGTCGTACTGAACAAAGGAATGCCGGGACAATTGTCCAAACACCCAGGACAAAATATTAAAAATTGTTTTAAATTTGATTACTTGCGTATTGTTCCTTAAACAAAATATTTTTAACTTGAACGCAAAGTCACCTATCGCTAATTTTTTTTAAAGCTACACCTGTGCGCAGTGTGTCTTTATAAGATTTCGTGAATTAAATCCGGACATTTAATTCAATTGATTCCAATGCTTTTAGTATTTGCCATTCAACGCGTATAAAAGAACAATTAGATAACATATGCTTGTTAGCTTCAAAAACATTAAACTTATCTTAGAGTTGGAATAGGTCAGTTTTTAAGTTACAAACCTTTTTTTCGAGATTTTCTATAAAGATACGTAAAATAACTTTAAAATTATGTTAGAGTTTAAAGTAGTTTTTAATTACAAACTATGCGCTAATTAAGATTTTTTTTCTTCAACGAGTTTTAAACTATTGTGCGATGTGACTTTAAAATATAACTAAGCATAAGCGCCAAAATTCAAAGCATTTATTATTTAAGTGGATGTAATTTTTGTCTGAAATTTTATTAAAACTTGTCATTATTGATGAATATATTAAAGATATATTGATTTTTCACACTCGCTCAGTCGTCTTTGCGTTTTTCGATTCTTTCGGGTACGCTGTATGTAGACTTGTTAGCACTTAATTCTTGTGTTTTCTTTTTAAAAAATATCAAACCTTTTAACTCAACCGCACTTCGAAATTATTTACCGTTACCTTCAAAATTATTTACAGTTATTTACCACTAGAAATTTAGCGTAAAGCAAAAATTAGTAGTCCTTTTACTATTAAATATATTTATGCTAATGTTTTGCATGAAAGGAGTACATAAACTTATTCATCCTAAATGGTATTTATACTTTCATGGTATTTATACTTCTAATATATTTATACTAATAATTATACTAATGGTATAATTTAATAATTTATAATGGTATAATTTAGTAATAATTTATACTAATGGTATTTATACTTCAACTATTCATACTTTCATCACAACAAGAGTTTACCTGAAAACAGAGTGGTGAAGATCTTGTATTGGAAGCAGAAGGACAAAAGGCAGACTGAAGAAAAAGTAGATGGATGATGTCTTGAATGATTTTAAGTCTCCAAGTGGAAGATCAAGGTCAGAGATACTGTCTGGAAAAATATTGTGTTGCAGGCTAAGCCCCATCCTAGACTGTAGTGCCAATAAAGAAAACCGGTAATAATGCTTGTTTTTAAATCCTACAAGTTGCATAAATTTTTATAACAGCTGTTTTTAATATAAAGTAAAGGCCATGATAACATCAGTTGTTGTTGTTGTTAATTTACGTCGCACTAGAGCTGCACAATGGGCTATTGGCAACGGTCTGGGAAACATCCCGGAGGATGATCCGAAGACATGCCATCGCAATTTTGATCCTCTGAGGAAGGGATGGCACCCCCCGCTTTGGTAGCCCGACGACCTGCGCGCGAAGTCGAGCACTTTACGGTAGCACAGTTTAACGAGGACCAATACCGCACACCCTCGGTCCCTACGCAGACTGATCCAAGTGGTCACCCACCCGCACACTGACCGCAGCCAGTGATGCTTGACTTCGGTGATCTGCTGGGAATCGTGTCTTAACGATCAGTCCACTGCGGGACGATAACATCAGAAGCTATCATCAATAGCTTATCAGACAATACATTGATTATAATACATATTAAAAAAAGAGACCGCTTTATCTTTGGTTCTTGTAAATTGTATTAAGAAATATTTGAATAAGAATCATTAATTTAATCAATCGAGAGACGTTAAAAAATTTATTTCTTAAACAATTTTTTTAATGTTAAGAGAACATCAGTTTTTTCAAAATGTAAGATTATGAAATTTTCTTTAGATAGTTTCATATTGCATTAAACAATTTAAAGTTTGAGTCATTTCGTTGGATTATAGATATTTCGCATCGTAGCTATACAAAATTAGTGAACTTCTTTTCGCTATTGTATATAATGTTATATAATGACATAATAATAATGATATAATGGCATACAAAAATATATGTTATATGGCTATGAAAA